GTTGCTTCTTCTTTTTGTCCTCTTTTCTCTTTCTCTTCGCCTCTTCCCTCTTTTCTTTATCGTTCTGGAGTTTTTTGCGAGTTTCTTTTTCCTTCTTCTTTCTGTCTTCTTTCTTTTTTCTCTTCGCCTCTTCCCTCTTTTCCTTCTCCTCCTGGCGTTTTTTGCGAGCTTCCTCTTGCTTCTTCCTCAGTGCTGCCTCCTTCTCTGCCCTGTCTACTTTCCTCTCTTCCTCCAGTCTTCTCCTTTTCTCCTCTTCTTTCCTCTTCTTCTCTTCCGCCTTTCTCTTTTTTTCTTCAAATTGTCGTTTTTTCATTTCTTTCTCTTCTTTCAACTTTTGCTCTTTTTCTCGCTTTCTCTTATCTTTCTTTTGCTTTCGTTCTTTTGCTTTTCTTTTCCTTTCCTCTTCCAGTTTCTTTTGTTCTTCTTCAAATTTCTTCCTTGCCTCTTCTCGTTTTTTGTTCGCTGCCTCCTTCTTTCGTTTCTTTTCTTCCTCTAGTTTTCTCTGCTGCTCTATCATCTTCTGCCTCTCTCGTGCCATTTGAGCCTGAGGAGAACCCAGGAAACGTTGGTCAGGAACACACACACACGCAGGCACTCACACATACATACACAGATACACGCACATACACAAACACATACACACATAGATACACGCACATATATATTATAAATATGATATGTATGTAATATACATACATACCACAAACACAAACACATACACCAACATGCATACACACATACTCACACACAGATGCTCACACACACACATTCACTCTTATACATTCACATATACACGCATACACATACGCAAACACACACACACACACACACACACACACACACACACATAAACGTACACACATACTCTCAAACACACGTGCACACACACACGCATACACATAACAACAACGAAACAAGAAGAAGAAGAAGAAAAAGAAGAAGAAGAAGAAGAAGAACAACAACAACAACAACAACAACAACAACAACAGAAACAACAACTCCTCCTCCAAAAACCCAACAACAACATTAAAAGCAAAAATAACAGCAACAATAACAACAAGAAAAATAAAAGCTTACAGCAATAGGAGCAGCAATATCTGCACGTTCACCAAGAGTAGTATTAACAGCAAAAATAGCTGCAGAAGCAACAGCAAGTTTAAAAACAATGTCCAAACGTAGACAAGACCACTGGACAAGACTACGACATGAATCGACCTTCGCGGATGCTTCTCTAGTTATGAGGACTCACCTGTTTCTTTTTCCTGATCTCTTCTTCTCTCTTTCTCTTGGCAGCTGTTTCCGTAGTGTCAGATAGAGGAAAAAGTGAGGAGCACAATTATATTGGGAACATAGTATTTTCGTTGGCGTTTGAGTTGTTGCTATTCTTGTTGCTGTGGGTAATGCTGTTGTTATTGTTGATGTTGTTGTTGTTGATGTTGTTGTTGGTGTTGGTGGTGTTG